TCCCCACCACTTCACCACTCCCACCACCCTCTGGGTGAAGGGGATGAAGTGGGGATGGTTGATGGGGGAAGTGGGGTTTGTTGATGAGTACAAAAATATAGTTAGATGGACTGACTCATAAGACCTAGTATTTGACAGCACAACAGACTGACTACAGTCAACAATTATTTATAGAGTTTAAAGTAACTAAAAGAGTATAATAGGATTGTTTATAACATGAAGAAAGGATAAATGCTTGAGGTGAGGATATCCCATTTAGCCTGATATGATTATTATGCATGGTATGCCTGTATCAAAATATCTCATGTACCCTATAAATATATAAACCTCATAAGTCCAACAAAAATTAAAAATAAAATAATTTTTAAAACACTGTATGTAGTTACTCCTAAACTAATGCTATTGAGATTCTAATAGCATATTCCAGCTGTGATATTTGGATTCTTTAAAAGCTTCAATTCCTACCAGTGCTTATCCCTAAACCTTAACATTTATTAGAAGAACGAAAGATCTCAAAACGCTGACTGTCTTCTTGCTGTGTGGCTAGCTGCAGAATTATTGTTCTAAACTGGCCATTACTGAGCTTTGTCCATCTGTTGGGATACAAATGTTACCACCTCTCAGACTTGCTCTTGCCAGTTGTTTTTCTTCTCACAAAATTCTCAATCCTGGAATATGCATTCTGATGTTTTATTTTCCTTTCTGTGGCTACATTATTAACTAACGGCACAAAAAACCCTCTCAGTGGCTTTTATTTATAAATAAGAGGTCACCTAAAAATTCAGGGAAAAGTTGGCCAGCATTTGCAAGAAAAATTCTTCTGAAACACAACTGTCAATAATGAAAATGCACACTAGCAGGAAATTTATAAATAAGTAAGCCAGGCATGCCATTGCCACAGGAGACCTTCTTTGAGCAGACTGTTTTAGAATCAGAATAAGTCTGAATAAAAGATCACTTACGAAAGGGAAAAAAATGAATGAATAGCAGCTCCTTGCAGGGTTAGAGACAGATGGGCAAAACACAAATACAAGAAGACACATAAACTTCAGTGTGGCATCATTTCCTGGAAGGATGCAGCCTTTGGTGTGGTGAGCACAGCAGAGAGAGCCATCCAAGCTCGCTGAATCCCTACCAAGGGCACCAGAAAGTCCATCCTTTCTTAGCTTTCAGTACCTGATGTGGAACAGCATTGCCAGATTTAGCAAAGACAAATACAGGGCACCTACTTATATTTAAGTTTCAGATAAACCATAAATACTTTCTTAAACTTATATCCAAAATATTGCATGGGACATACTTTTATTAAAAAAATTATTGTTTATTAAAACAAAACAAATCCCCCCAAAATATTGTTTATTGAAAACTCAAATTTTATTGGGCATTTTATGTTTTATCTGGCAATCCTAATCTGGGATTTCCTTCCAAGCAGAAATGATGAGTAGACTTAATAGAATAACATAGAACTGCAACTATCTTATTTATTACCCACCACTGACCTAACAGTTGACAGAAGTAACAGGTGAGCAGTACCCAGAGGCTCTCAAATGCTCATCCACAGGCTCTTTCAAGTCTCATGCTTAAGAGATCATTTTATGACCTTCATATCCTTTCTCTTCACTAAACAATTCTACATAGTTCAAACCTCTGGAAAATTTCTATCCAGATAGCCCCATCTCCTGACCATGTAAAGCTAACCAGACCTAAAATGGTCTTGCCTCTATTTACTTTATTTGAATGAGTTTTTTTTTTTCTCTCCTTCATCACAATACCATTTCCATAATGTAGGGAACCATTGCAAAGTCAACCAGGAATAGATCTGTAAAGAAGAGTTTTGGCTGGGTGCCTGTAATGCCAGCACTTTGGGAGGCCGAGGCGGGTGGATCACGAGGTCAAGAGATTGAGACCATCCTGGCTAACATGGTGAAACCCCGTCTCTATTAAAAAAAAATACAAAAATCAGCTGGGCGTGGTGGCGTGCACCTGTAGTCCCAGCTACTCAGGAGGCTGAGGCAGGAGAACTGCTTGAACCCAGGAGGTGGAGGTTGCAGTGAGCCGAGATTGTGCCACTGAACTCCAGCCTGGCACCTGGTGACAGAGCAAGACTCTGTTTCAAAAAAAGAGTTTTGACAAAGCTTTTAAATTCCACTTACTAAGATTCCTTTTGTGTTCTTGACTCCTCTTACTCTAGTAGTCAAAAGAATGTAAAACATTTTCTAGTCCTATTTCCTTTCCTTGTATGATTTCTCTCTGTCTCCATCAGCTATGAATTTTCCTCAAGTTCTGTGTCCCCTTCATTTATTAACTTAATTTCATGATGTCTTTTTGTCTTCCTGTTTCAGAGATTTTCTTTTTGCTCAAGGCTCTCTACTCAACAAATATAGTTCATAGGCACATGAAGCCAATGAGACAGCACTGCCATCAGTATTAAGCAGATGGCATTCTCTAGGATAGACAAAGTTAATTTTAATGGGCTCTTGTAATTTGAAGGTTATGGTTTTACCTATTTTATATGACCCTAGCATTTCTGCACAGCAGTAATTTATTTTTCTGAGGCAGGAAATTTGGTCATGAGTACTGTCAGGCTTGTGGACAAGGATATGTAGTTAGTGAGTAAGCCAAGCTGACTTCTCAGACACTGAATGTCAGTACTGCCATGCTCACTCATTCAGCGTGCAGCATTCTAGTCCTGGAGATTCACAGGTGCACATGCCTTGACGTCATACAGGAGACAGATAATAAAATAAGTAAATTAGAAGAAAATGTTTACTCTCACTTGGTGGTAAGTACCATGAAGAAAAATAAGGTAGAGTGAGAGATATATGTACGTTATGATGGGAGGGAGGGTGCATTTTGAACATTTAAACATGGTGGTTAGAGAAGAGTTCTCAAAGGAGGTGGCACTTGACAGAGACCTCACTGAAGGGAAGAAGGAAGCCATGTTGCTGTCTGGGGGAACAAAAAAATGCAAATGCTGGCGCTCAAGGAACAGCAAGAAGGCCGTAGAGTCTGAAGGAGATGAAGGAGAGTGGTAGGAGGTGCGTCAGAGAGGTAAGCAGGGCTAGATGATGCAAGGGCTGGTAGCCCATGAAAGGGGTGTCGTGATGGCTGCTGAAGATTTTGAGCAGGAGAATCGCAGGTTCTAAATTAAAATTCTCAAACATCACTCTGACTACTGTGTAGAGCATCGATCCTTGGAGGGCAAGAGTGAAGCACTGGGAGCAGCCAGGAGTCTGTTGAAACAAGATGGCCAAAGAAGATGTTGGTTTGAACAAAGGAGGCAATGGTGGAGGTGACGATGAATACTTGGATCACTTGGTAATTGAATGAATAGTATCAGGATATAGAGGACTTGATGATGAGGTCTAGGATTTTTACCTGAGCAACTGGGTGAAGAAGGTGTCATTTATCGAGATAGAGAAGACAAAGGAGGGAACAGCTTTTTAATGTATTGTTTGAATTTGTTTTGAAGCAATCTCTCAAATTTACAAAAGAGTTATGAGTCTAATACAAATAACATTTTTTCAGAACTATTTGTAAGTTGCCAACCTGATGCCTCATCACTTTTGTAAACTTTAGTGTTTATTTCCTACCAACAATGATAATCTCCTACATAATTGCAAAGCAGCCATCGAAATCAGGAAAATAACACTAATTTATTTCTACCTTCTAATTCTCAGACCATGTTCAAGTTTTTCTAATTATCCCAATAACATCCAAAGAGATTCCATTCAGAATCACACATTGCATTGGTTTGTAACATTTCTTCAGTCTCCTCTAGTGTGGAGTAACTTCTCAATCTTTCATAGACTTTCATGACTACATGAGTTTTCTATGCTGCATAACAAATTACTGCAACCTTAGCAGCCTGAAATACACACACACACACACACACACACACACACACACACTCACTCACTATCTGTTTCCAGGGATCAGGAGTCCAGGCATGTCTTAGCTTGCTTCTCTGCTTCGGAGTCTCATCAGAAGACAATCCACAGGTAACCAGTGCTACGGTCTCATCAGAGGCTTGACTGGGGAAAGATCTGCTTCTAAGCTCCCTTAGGTTGTTGGCAAAATGTATTTATTTGCTGCTGTAAGACTGGGGCTTCAGTTTCTTGCTGGAGATCACCCTCAGCTACTAGAGGCTGCCTGCTGTTCATTGTCATGTGAGCTTCTTCAACATGACCACTTAACTTTGTGGCAGTTCACATTTTCAAGGACAGGGAGGTGGAGTCTTTGTAGCACATCTGTTAGCAAGAGGGAATCTTAAACATGCCATAATGTCATGATGGGACTGATATCCCATCAACTTTCCCATATCTTATTGGTTAAAAGTAAGTAAGTTAAAAGTTGGTTAAAAGAGGGTAGGTTCTGCCCAACTCAAGGGGAAGGGATTATTGGTGTTCCTAGCAGTCTGTCTTCCACTGTGACTTTGTCACTTTTGAAGATTATTCCTTTGTGGAATGTTCCTCCATTTATGTTTTAGTGGAACGTTTTTAAATTTGGGTTTGTCTGATGCTTCCTCATGATTATAATCAAGAATCTTTTCCAAAAATATCACAGAAATAATGTATTATTATTATGACATCATATCTAGTAGTTCATGATTTCAATTTGCCTATTAGTTGTGTTCATTTTGATCATTTGAATTAAGTATCTGCCAGGACTTCTGTAATGTAAAGTTATCATTTTCCTTTTTGTAATTAATAAATGTTACTGTGAAGAGGTATTTTAAAACCATGTAAACATCTCATTCCTCATCACACTTTTTATCTTTATAATTATAGTAATAGGTTATAATCCGGAATTTAAAAAGAAACCATGAGTCCATGCTTACTTATTCAGTGTGGACTCATGATTTCTTTTTAAATTCGGGATTATAATCTATCACTGTAATTATTTTAATGTTCAAATTATCCTTAATGTATCCAGGGGAAGTTGCTTTAGGGTGGCTTCTGTGTACTTGGCACAGCTCCATAATTCTTTGAGCACTCCCTTACTTTCTGAGCAATAAGATACCCAGGCTCATGCACTTTCTCCTCGCACAATCCTGAAATCACTCATGATGCCAAGAGTCCTGACCAGCAGAGAAAGGTATTTAGAAGCTACGTTTTGGAGACCAGTTTTCCCTTTGGTATTGCAGTCTTACTACTCCGAAGCCCTTTTGGTGGACAGAGGTAGGAAATATTTGTCTGTGTGTCTGCATATCTCTCCTCACATTTACCTCTATATTTTCATATCTATCCATATTGAAAACAATGAGTTTCACTATATATTGAATCCAATATATATATTCAATGAGTACCTCAAATTTCAATCCAATACCACAAAGTTTATTCTAGTTTTTTCTTTTCCATATTTGTAACTGCCTTCTCCAACAGTGAGAAGCCTGACCCCCATTAGCCTTATATAACACTTGATCAATAGTCCTGCATGTGATGAATCTCCCATTGCCTCTGCAGTTTCTCACAGTATACCCTCCTTACCCCATGCTGGCTGAGTCATTCCTAGCTGGGCTGCTTTTACCCCTCCCGACAGTACCCTGTCTCCCAGTGGTGAGTTCCTTCTTCAGCTTCCCCATTCAACAGTCTGATCTGAGCCACATCACTGCACTTCCACACTTGTATTACGAAACCTCAAACCTGGTGTGTGTTTGTTTTTCAGTCAAGGCTTTATTCTCTATTACTGTTTGCAATTCTCAAAAAGTGGCACAACATTTTTTTTCTTTGTGTAAATAGCTGCCGATTTTATTGTAACATCCTCTGAATATTAAGATCTGCTATATTTGTTGATTAATGATGTAAATAAAATGAAGGCCGTAAGAGAAACCATGAGACGCAACTATTCCATGACACTATTAAGATGTGCATTCTGTGGCCAAGATTTGTTTTTTGATATTATGATGTGAAACACTCTTGAAAATATGTGGAGAAAAGAACAAAAGTTACAAATGAAAAACAGTCTTATAGTATTCAGCTCCAAGAAGGAAAAGATGCAAGGAATACATGACATGAAGTTTGGATTGAATTCTGTTTGTAAAATGATAACATACTTTTTGCTAGAAAACAACAACGCTCCTTAAGAAGATTAGTAATTGGGGATCTTTAAGTATTCAGAAGTGTGAGAACTGTGATGCTTGATGGTGATGAATACTGCAGAATTCTCTGTGGGTTATGAAGCCAATTTCTTTAAGAGGCACCACAGCTGAAGGCTGCCAAGGGCAAAATATATTTGAGCTTTAAGGTGCATCTTTTGTTGAAAAGTGCACAAAAAAGTAAAAAACTTAAGAAACAGGTATATTTTGTTGTCAGCCATTTTATGCTTGTACTAATCTTCGGTAGCCAAGTTTCAAAAGCAGAAATATAAACAAAGCAAGTTCTTTACTTGATTTGATTATAAAACATGGTGCAAATTTAAGCCTTCATGTTGGTTGGAAAAGTATTTTCAGTTGTTGTAAGATCACTTTTCTTTTCTTCTCCAAATGTTCTAACCTGAACAAAATCTACCTTTAAATAAGAATTCTCTCTCCTTATCAAAACCAATTGCAGAATCAGAAATACTTTAGGGTATTAGTTCCAGGATGCACCTGGCATTATCTGCATGTACACTTCTTGCAACATGGGGACAAGGTTACAGGATCAGCCACAACTGAGGAAATGAAACTAGTTAGATCGGTGGTTCCCAAATTGTGGTCCCCAGATAGTAACATCAGCTTTACCTGGGAACTTAGTAGTGCAAATTCGCTAGGCCCACTTCAGATCTATAGACCAGGGACTCCAAAAGTGGGGGAGGGGGCATAATCATGTTTTAGTAAGTTCCTCTGATGATCCTGATGATGCACCCCCAGATTTGAGAACCACTGAGTTAGGCTAAGCTACTAGCTACTATTGGCAAATGTTGGATTCAATAAATTATCCTGTGCCCTCATTTGCTCTTCTGAACACTAGTGCTTTCTGTAGCTTCTTGTCAACACGAGAACTACTAAATTTTGAAAACATAACTTTTTCTAGTGTATTAAAAAACACTTTTCACACTTTCTTCTCTTCTCAGACATAGTCTATATGTTGCTTAATACAAGGACTGATATATAGTAACTACTCAATAACTACTCAATAAATACTAGCTTCCCTTCTCTTGTCCCTCAGATATTTGCTTGTTATTTATTAACTGAAAGAGATGGAGATAAAATACTGGTATTCCTAAAACATCTAAAGGTAAATTCAGTGAGCGCATTAATAAGTATTCTTGACACAAACTGTACTCTTAAGTTCAACACATCAAATATAACAATATTTTCTAAAAGCTGTAGAATTTATCAGAATCAAAATGAGGTCAACTGTGGTAAAAAAAAATTCTAACAAATATAAGAAGGCTTCAAAGAGAGAGGTTATCATGCATAAATGTCTGATAAAAAAACCTATCACACAGACTCTACAAGAACGACAACCTTGCACAAAGGCCATCACAACCTTACACAAAAAGTACTTCCGCAAGGTCTGCCCTGCAACTGCCTACCCAACCTTGGACTTGTCTCACTCTTGTTATCCGTCTAGGTAGTCAAGAATTATCATCTCAAAACATTATAGAGTCCTCCTCATTTTTCCTTTAAAAACATTTGTCTTACTTTATCTTCCTGAATATGTACATAGTTTACTATAGCATGCATAAAATATCACTCTTTTCTAGAGAACCTCACTCCATTTGCCATTTAGGCTGATAGAGCAAAGCAAATTAAACATATTCTTTATCTTTCTAAACAAATGACTTTTTTAAATTTAATTTTGTAACTTTAATATCAGTAGTGAATTGAAAACTAGAATTACAAATAAATCTCATTTTTCCTGATATTTCTATGTTTTTTCTTTAAAAGCAAAAAATTAAATATCCAGTGTCCTCATTATCATTTTAAAAATTTCTAGCAGTTTCAATTTTTGCGTTAGGAAATATCCACATGAAAGTTGTGAATATCTACAGGGTGTTCCTCCTGGGCATTATTTTTTTAGGGCTTGTATCCTTTCAATTACCCCCATTTTAGTCAAATGTCAATATGATTTAGTGGTATTCTATTTGCTGAGGAAAAGCCTCAGTGATGAATGAGAATAGCCATGTTTTGCCTATCTCAAAACATTTGAATTGTACCAGTGTTTTTCTCAGACTATCGAGCAAAGATTTTCAGACTTAGGTCTCTGCAAAAATCATCTCGTGATCTTATTCAAAAATTGAGAATTTACCTCTCCGGGTGATTGATACAGTGGTCTAGGATGGAATCAGAGGAAAAATATGCATTTTAAGCTAGCAACCAAGTATTCTGTGCAGGTTATGAGGGATCAACACACTGATAAAAATAGATGTGTCCCTTGATTCTGTACCCATTTACGTAAGTGTTGGTGTAATAGGGTGTGTTGCCAGTTGTGATGGTTAATACTGACTGTCAACTTGATTGGATTGAAGGGTACAAAGTATTGATCCTGCGTATGTTTGTGAGGGTGTTGCCAAAGGAGATTAATATTTGAGTTAGTGGGCTGGAAAAGGCAGACCCACCCTTAATTTGAGTGAGTACAATCTAATTCGCTGCCAGCACAGCTAGAATGTCAGCAGGCAGAAAAATGTGAAATGAGAGACTGGCCTAGACTCCCAGCCTACATCTTTCCCTTGTGCTGGATGCTTCCTGCCCTTGAACATGGGACTTCAAGTTTCAGTTTTGGAACTTGGACTGGCTCTCCTTGCTCCTCAGCCTGCAGACGGCCTATTGCGGGACCTTGTGATCATGTGAGTTAATATTTAATAAACTCCCATATATATAAAGTTCTATTAGTTCTGTCTCTCTAGAGAACTCTGACTAATACAGATTTTGGTATCAGGAGTGGTTCTAGAGAAACAGAATATTAAGCATGGAGTCATTTTGTTGGCTTTAGGGTTTCTGAAGTTGGCTGCTTAATATGATTAGACCCCAAATGCTACAGACTCTACTTTTAATAGTATAAAGAACACTGATAGTCCTTGGTGTGAACCATTTAAAGAGTTATGCAAAATAAATGCATTTGACACTCCTGATTCACTGCTTGTGAGAGGCGAGGAGTTTAGTGACTCCATACATAATTCATTTGACCATATGTAGGGAACCAAGGAACATAATGAAGGTGATTGATTGGTTGTTTCTAAGTTCAGTGGACAAAGTGATGAAAGAAAATGGTGAACTTAGGGATTCTGTCTCCTGGCTTCAGAAGCATATACTGAGCCTCATGTGTTCTAAGATTGCCATGAGTGAGCATCTAACTTCCTGTAGGGAAAGAGCTGAAATTGTAGAAAAGACACAAGCTCTTATAATGTGAGTGGCTGACTTGCAATGAAATGTGCATGCACAGCCTCACCAGATGTCTACTGTTAAAGTGAGGGCATTGATTAGAAAAGCATAGGACCCTGAAACTTGGAATAGGGGTGTGTGGGGGGGCCCTGATGAAGCTGGGGACACAGAGTTTGTAAACTCTGATGAAACTTTTTTGCTGGAGGAAACAGCTTCCCCATCCCCAATAGGGAGGAACATCCCCTCCCTGACCTATGCTGCCATCAGCCTTTCCACTATTGACTGAGGAGATAAACCCTGTGTTTCCTGAGGCAACAGTGATGGCCTCTCCTGAGGCAGTTGCCAGTTAAGATAATGTTGATTCTCCTCAGGAGCCACCCCCAACACCCCTGTTTGCTCCTATGCCTATAACTAGACTAAAGTCCCAGCAGGCCCCTAGAGGTGAGGTTGAGAGTGCTACACTCAGAAAGAACTGTTTGAGGTTTCTAATTTATACAAACAGAAATTTGGACAACAGGCATAGGAATGGATATTAATGGTATGGGATAATGGTGGAAGGAATATAGAGTTGGATCAGGCAGAATTTACTGATTTGGACCCACTAATTAGGGACTCTGCATTTAATGTTGCAGCTCAGGGAGTTAAAAAAAGGTTCTAATAGTTTATTTGCTTGGTTAGCTGAAATGTGGGTTAGAAGATGGCCCACTGTGAACGAGCTGGAAATGCTTGATATCCCTTGGTTTAATGAAGAGGAAGGGATCCAAAGGCTTAGGGAGATTGGGATGGTGGAGTGGATTAGTCACTTTAGACCTACTCAACCCAGCTGGAAGGGTCCAGAAGATACACCCTTGACCAATACCTTATGAAATAGAT